CCCCACCCCACTCCCCTGCCTCTGAAACATGCCTTCAGCTATTCACTGTAAACTCACAAACCTCTTTTGGACTGTGAACCTTTGGCCAGAACTTCATAAGTGACACAATCACCTGAATATAACATACGAAGACTATAGTAAGAGGTGAAAAATGTGTGCCAAGAAATGATGCTATCACTTTTTGATGGCCATTTCATTAATTCAAATCATTCTTCTATTCTTCCTTGTATTGAGAGGATCTCCATTATCAAAGAGGGCTGGCAAATGCTCATAAATGTGTACACTGGAGTGTGGTGAGTTTTCTATGCTAATCAATGAGGAAAATGAAAGAAGACCAATGCATTTCCAGATTACTTAATATGGAACTAACCATTGCTCCAACAACACTATTACACAGTTTTAAATAAAATAATCTTTACCGGTTCTGTGAGAGTGGGATCCTTTTCCAAGAATTGTACAATGCAGTAAGCCAACTGAGAAATAAAGAACAACAACTACTAAGCAAAGGGCACTTCTTCTCTGGTGGCCACTCACTAAATGGCAACTTTGGAAAAAAGGTTAAGCTTGGAGCCCAGAAGTGTACAGTTAAGTACTTGAAGCATCAATTCAAAGTAATGTGATTCTGGGTTAACCCCTGGCTTGACAAAAATAAAATATGCAATCTTACCTGTGGATGGTACATACTGAGTGCTTTGACTTTGTGTAGAGGCATAAGAACTTTCATAAGAAAATGCTTATGTTCCTCTTTGAGAGGAACTGCAAAGCCATTGATGATGCTGGGTAAATAAAGTAAGATAGTTGGTCAGTCTGGACAAGGCTGTATGGTTAGAGTGAAATCATGTGGCAAAAATTCAGGAACACAGATGTCAGGAAAATTGACAAACAGAAAAAGCCTTGCTCAGTAGGCTCATAAACCACTCACGTTTGAAGCACTTGAGATGCTTAGAAATATGAAAAAATTATAAACCTAGTCACTTTGAAAAAACTTACATTTAAAATCACAGGAATGGTGTGAATAACAACAAAAGTACCTTGAGAAAAAAATTGCTGGGGAAGCAAATCATTATTTAAAATACTTTACAAGTATTCATTAATCCAAAGGACCATTTAAATATTGTATTTAACAATGATTCCACAACCGCACATTGGATATGAATGATAGATAGCCAACTCGGCGCTACGCGCCTCATTGGCTACAATCATCTCATATCCAACAAGTGCAAGTGGAATAATTGTTTCATTAAAAAAAACGCCCCCAAGATATTAGACAAATCTTCTCGACTTTATTCTATAAGAAGAAACCGGAGTTACAA